TGAAAAAATTACTCCAGCTTTGTGTATGTAATGTACCATTCAGGTTTATGAACGATCGATATGTACAAGTGGACGGGGTGGCCATGGGTAGTCCTCTTGCCCCGATCTTAGCAGATCTGTTTATGTCCAAGATGGAACTCAAGATCAATAGATTCTCTACAAATAAGCCTATCATGTGGTTGCGTTATGTAGACGATGTGTTTTGCATCTTCACCGTTAGTCAACCAAAAATTCAAAAATTTTTATCACGCATCAATACTTGGCACTCAAATATTAAATTTACCGTTGAATTTGAATCGAATCAGTGTTTACCCTTCTTGGATGTGTTGGTAATCCGGGACAATGATAAATACACAACAACCATTTACCGTAAGCCCACGAACACGGACTTATACATGCTATATGAGTCAGATCAATCTCGCAAGTACAAACTTGGGCTGATAAAAACATTGGTAATTAGAATTATGAGAATCTGTTCAACACCAGAAAATATGAAAACTGAAATCGATCGATTAAAAATAACATTAACATCAATGGCTACCCACCACATATTATCAAACGTGGCATTAGAGAAGGTGGTATAATCACTAAGTGTATTCTACAACAGCCATCGCAGCCACAACAGAAAACAGTAAAAACAGTATTTTTTGTATTACCGTATTATGGCCAAGAAACATTTATATTTTCACAACGTATTAAAAAGATTTGTCGTAAGCTACTGCCTCACCTGACACTAAACTTTGCGTTTCGGAAACACTCACCAATAAAAAGCGTATTTTTGTCTTTGCAAAAAGGGCAAGATCCGGAAANAACATTATTTTGGCGAAACTGGACGAACACGTAGTAAACGTATGACCGATCATAAACGAGCAATCAGGAACAATGATAAAAGTTCGAAGCTAGCTAAACATGCATACGACAATAATCACACAGTAGATATTGATAAAGTAGAAACAATGTCTCTGGAAACTAACTGGAGACGACGTATAATAAAAGAAAGTTTGTATACACATAACAGTGCGGAAAAAGCATTTAATGACACTAAACATCAACTTCGAGTTTTCGGATGATATTGTACTCTCTGAGTATAGTTTTTCGGGCCGTACTTACTCATATGTTCATTTGAACATATGATGAACATATGAAGAGAAAAGAAATAAAGAAAAGAAGAAACGAACATTGATTTGATCTATTTTCATTTTCAAAATTCAACGAACGTTCTTTTCAAGAACAAACAAGAAAGAACAGTCATCTTTGTCTTTTTGTATATAACTCTGTTAAATGTTCCATTTTAGTCAGCCTGAAGATGATGTTAGAAAGACATCGAAAGCTCGCTAACGAATAAAAGTTTTTGTTCAAAATGATTTTCATAGCAGTGTTATATTTCTTATATTCTCGAAAGATTAGATATTATCGACGCCATAGATGACTTCTATTTACAAAATTACTTCGATGCATGCGATGTAAATGGATATATACCAGTCACATGCAATGAGGACGGAAACTGTTTGTATAATGCTTCAGCGCTCTTATGGTCGGCATCTCCCGCCGTTTTTCAAGAATTTCGAACACGTAATATCGTCGAGCTCGTGGTGCACTCCGAATAATATTTACCACTATATCCATTCGGTGAACATTTATTTAGTCCACTCGAATCTTACGCTTGTGAAGAAATGATTCTTGATCTTCAAAGCTCAGCCAGATGGGGCATTCTAAGCCTTCCGTCGGTTTTGAAACATGAGGTGAAATTATTCTATCCGCATGGTTTAAGTATTCACGAGGGTGGAATAGATGCGTATGCACATATCCTCAATGAAACGTTCTATCCCAGATGTGGCATAGAATCGGGTGATACGGTTACGCTGCTATGGACAAGCACATTAAAACTAAAGCAAAATCTAGCTTCTGATCAAAATTCGAAACGAAAACAGCCCTCACGACCTTGGGTCCCCGATCATTTCGTACCACTTTTGAAAAAGGTTTGTTATAAATAATGGAAGACGTATTCATCTTTTATAATGTATTACCTTCCTGAGATCTGTTAGACATACCATCATTATTACCAGCGCTTTGTTGAACGATAAAGGTTATTCAGCGTATGAAACATTATATAGAAAGATAGTAAATTGTATTAGAAAACTGTTTCTTATAACCAGAATAAATTAGTAGCATTTCACTGGTCGCAGATTATACATTTTGTTTAATACATTTTGTTTAATTATAAAGAAAATTTAGTAAATATGAAATGGTATAACAACGGTGGCATATAGTTATCACAGATTTTTTTTCCGTAGATTTCATCACTGAGAAGAATTGCAAGGAGAATGAGGTCTCTAGAGAAGCGATTGCGTCTTATTTGAATAACTCGTCCTTTCACTCAGTTTTTAGAATAGGATGATTAATGATCATCATTATTCTTATGAGATCAGTTATAGGCATGCACCAATACCAATCATCATTGAAGATATTGTACAATATTATTGGATATCCAATAATACTGGGTCCCAATATTATAGTACACCAATATATTGGGACCAATATTATTGGTACTCAATAATATTGTACAATAATACTGGCTAATATTGGGTTCCACAATACGCTGAATTCCAACTCTTTAACCTTAGTATCATTACCTTCATAACGACGTGAGGAAACACATCCCAATCGGGATATATATCCCGATCGAGATATATCGATTAGGCATGTGCCGAGTAATAATCCATGTTACGACACAGAGCTGTCGAATATCTCATTTTGCAGAAAAATGGTTGCTCTACCAAACTGCAGTGCAAAAAGACATTTTAGCTCTAAGTGCCTTTTCATAACTGATTTGGAATGACTTTGCTGGATGCCCTAATATCGATTATTAATCGGTGCATGCCTAACTGGGTTATATTTTGATTCAAAACGGGATATAAAGCATGCGTCTATACTGTAAACGTAGGCAGAACTCAAGCGGCTCAATACCCAATAATATTGTGAAAACCCAATATATTAGGTCACCAATATTATTGGGGCCCAATAAATTGTATTGGTGCCCAGTTGGTGCATGCCTAATCACTTATAATCTTTGCGGTTTGTATACGAAAAATATTTTTTTCTTTAATTTTAGAATGTGAGTCATTCCTGTATTGTCATTTTTGATCAAACAAAGGGATACAAGCAAGAACATGCTATGCACAGAAGTGATTATTTGAAAGAAAACCAGAGCAAAGAACATATGGAATACGAATATGATCCTTTAACAAAGCCTGAAAGAATTAGAACTTATACTAAAAAAGCGACGACTAATGTGATTTCACATCTCAAAAACAAATTTGTCTCATTTAACACTGTATGTGTAATTTCGTTTCCTTTTATTCTTCCAAAAGAAATCACGTATAGTTTTTCTACTTTAAGATATCAACATCCAAAGCTACTAATGAGAATAACGATTTAGCTGTTAGACAAATTCCACAAACAACAGACGAAGCAACGATTATAATAGATGTAAGCGATTTTACGAGTAAAGATCCGACACTCGAAAACTCATCAGTCGTCAACGCAATGATACTAAGTGTAACAGAAAAATTAAATGAGCTGAATTTGGCGTGTGATAAAACTATTGTAAAAAAGAAAATTCATGAAGAAATAAACAGTTTGATATCCAACCGTAATAGAATAGCAAGACAGAAACATATATCAAAAGAGGCAGCGTGGCATAAACATACGGTATCAATAACTGTACCAACTGAAACGGTTTACGTTGACACAGCTACGTCGAAAAATTTATTGCCAAATGACGATATTTTTAATTATGATATGTCAAATGAGCTGAGATTCAGTGGTAAAAAATTTCTTCGTTCCAAACGAAATATTTCGTATATTTCTAAGGACTGTACGAATGAAACTTATTCTTCTCTAGGCACTACGTCTAGTGAAATGCAAAGTACAGTACCACTGATACATACAAAAAGTGCATCTTTTGTGAATTCTGACACACCTACTTCCTTAATAGATTACAATGGCAAATATGTACGATTATCAATTAGTGAGTCAGCTGCACGACAAATTTTTAAATACAATATTTTATCACAATCTGATTTTGAATGGTTGATAAGAGAAATACTTGAAGAATTAAAAACAGCTTCAATTAATGATCTTGACGAACGTATAATAAAACAACACGTAATGACTCGGCTTAAAGTATGGCACGACATTTATAAAAATGATCTAACAAGGAGCCGTAGAGCAGGCATCGCAATAACCGTTACCATTCCTTATTCTCGTGCACGTACTGGAATTTATAAGCGTATGCCATCATTGGTAAGTGTCTGAGCTAACAGATAAAAGGTGTCTTACAGACTTATCCTCATGAAATAATTCATTCAGCCAACGAAATAACATTTTTGTCATTATAGAATATCGTGACAAGATCCTTAAAACCTGCTTCAGAACACAAACTCCCAATGTCCACTGATATAATCGACGACAATATCGATATAAACCTCTCTTAAACATCATTGATGGATACGACGGATCTTCAAACAAGCGAAGTCCCCATTTCTACACGAGAAGTTTATGAAAGTGGGGATGGCAGTTCCAGCAATGTTGATATCGACGGAGGTAATAACACAGAGAATGAAGATAGTAACGAAGAAGAGGAGGAACAAGTTCCAAATTTGTATGATTCAGACAGCATCTCCGAAGGTGAAGGTGAAAGTGTAACAAAACAAAATGTTAAAAATTCAAAGTTGTTAAATAATTATTACACTTGTTCATCGTTAAATTGGAAAATGCAGTATCCAATCACAAATAAAGCGTATGCCGACTTGAGTAATCTACAGCGAAACACTTTGAAACGAAAGGTTAGGAAATTTCACACTGTACGTAAACTAAAATATTATTTACAAGCAAATATTCCTCTCCAACAAACTCGATACGGCGCATTTATGCATGTTCTCCATGCTGTACAGTTATTATTGCTGAATAATCCCGACACTATGAACTCTATTCAGTCATCTACCAAAGCGTTACGGTTTCGTCTAGCCCAAGATGGGACCTGGATTGGAAAGTATTTGAATTGTATCGTATCCACATTAAGTTGGCTTGATTTAGGAAGAGAAAGTCAAAAACCAAGCGCAATGGTTCCACTAGCTATATTTAGAATTTCAAAAGAAAATCGAACTACGTTGGAAAAGTGTATTCCGCCCGATTTCGTGGAAATGTTTGCACCGAATCAGACAATACAGTTAGCTAACACAACGTACAAAATTGAGTTTTTTTAAGTGACGATTATAAAATGATTAGTCTTCTCATGGGACTTGGTGGTGTTCAGTCCGATTATTTCTGCAACTGATGCGTCTGTCATAAACGAAACGAAGACAATTTCCATGATTATTCAGCTTTCTCAACATCTAGGGGGGCACGACGTATACTTGACCACAACAAAAATCTTGTTTCAAAATCATATAGTTATGCATTTAAACCAATATATGAAAATTATTTTGAGTAAGTCATCGCTAGAATCGATTATATAACAATTTTATTTTAAATTAAGCCAGGCTCCTAATCAAAAGTTTCTAATATCTTACCCGTCTTCTCTTTACGTACTAGCAGCATCGAATATGTCGAGCAAAAAAAACTACTCCATTATGTCACTAATCGAACGGAAAATCTGACTATTTTCACGTGATTCCGACAAAGTATTAGACCAATTTGAATCGCATTCTACAGTTAACAGCAAAGGCAAAATAATTTTCTTTTACAAGGAGAATCAACTTTTTTACATTAGAAACGCAAACTTACCAGCTCTAACCATATATAATTTCTGGTGCAAATCTAATACGCATACAGTAGCTTGTCATCAGTTTTCTTCTTTTTTTCGTTTTTCCTAATATCACATCGTGATTATCTCTCTTAATTGCCAAATCCGAAGCTGCCATTTGTTGACCACGTTTAACTATTTAAACGTTGTTTAAAATCCAAATACAGACGTAATAAATCGAATAAAAGGCTCAAATCCTTGTATTATGCATTAGCCTAAAAGTTAAGAGAAAACGCATAAAAGATATTCAATCTCACTAAGCTGAAAAGGTCACATATTCTTGGTTGAAACTAGTTTTATAACGTTTAACTCAAGGCCACCCTTACGTCGGATAACTCTCCTTGCAAAGCGATACGGTGTAAACATATGGCGTCTGCTCGCTTTGGGTTTAAGAACTTTATATTCGCTGTTGAACATTTATCAGGATTTGTTATGTTCTGATTTACAGGCTTCGAAATAGGAAAAATCAAAAAGTAGGAGTAGGAGTCGGATTTTGAAGTCCGTTATGATAGGATTTATATCAAAACGTGCGTAAAGTAGCTTTTAAGAGAAGCTCCGCCACAGCACCGACCATACCTTCCGGGAGAATGTTTTAATTTATTTTTATTTATGTCTCATTCGAAGAAAAAAAGTAAATTTTCACAAATTTTCGTATTTTCCGATTTTCTTAAAAACTATGATTCGTTCATAGCTCATTTGAAAGAGAAATGTGTTAAGAAGTCATGGTTATTTTCGTTTCATCCTTCTCATATGTATGGTTCGATATGTATGCTTTTCGCATTGTTTAACATTCTTATATGGTGTGATATTCTTCTCATTGTTTCACATTCTTATATCTCACTGTTTATCA